TCTTGTGCCTGTTAACTGGGCACAAATGGGCCTTCCCAGCAAGGGAGATTTGATTTCCTATGGAATTTAATTCTGCTAAATCTGCTCAGTGTTAAATTAAATGGTAAATTTTCACTCCCTTCCTAGGCAAACATATCTCTTTTTTAGTGTCCATCCTTTTATCAAAGAGGCAGTGACTTAAATGCAAGAGAATGCACACAGACAAGAGTTTCTGCTAAGTGCAGAAACTGTATCACTGGATAAAAACTGGGAAGGAATGTATCACAGCTGGTCATTGATTTATGAGCTACACTTAAGAGAAGGAAATGAAGAAAAGAGTCCTGGGAAGTTGCTTATACATTTTTAGGAAAGATGAAGCAGTATGTGTCTTTAATTTGGATTTCTTATTCAATGGTTATTTACTAGATCAGTACAGGCCTAGTGAATACAGGGGAAGCCCCAATGAAGACGGCACTGAGCTTCTTTTAAGGAGCTAATGGTAGATGTGTGGATGAGATATGACTGTCCAGATGTGATAATAGCAAAGTGCAGAGGTTGGGAGACCAGGTTGAGAGTAACTTGATGTGGAGTGTAAGAGAGAGGAGGAGAGAGGTAGAGGAACAAATGTGGCTTAAATTTTGAATCCACTGGAATGGAGGTGTTTTTGGAGTATCTAAGTAGAATGCTCAGGGGGAAAAATGGAGGAATTTAGAGGCAAAAATGTAAGTGGGGAGTCATGACGCCACCAAGTCGGGAAGCATTAAGAGTTGGTGCCAGCACCCAGGGTGTGGTGTGGGATGAGTGGGACCCTTAGAGCCTCATCATTGAAGAGAAGGATAGAAAAAGCAAAGCCCCCAAAGGAGACTGAGAAAGCAGGTCACTGAGTGGGAAGGAGAATGGCATGATGCTGTTGGTTTTTCTCTTGGTGGCCATGAGGACCTGCCAACTGGCTAACCTAGAAAGCCACAGACAGAGCTCATGAGCCAGGCAGAACTAGTGTGCTGAGGGGGCAGCCACTCACAGTTTGTCCAATAATCAAAGTCAGCTTGAGGGCTGTCAGCTTAGACCCCTGCTAAATCAGTTCATTAATTTTACAGATGAAGAAATTAATAATAACCATGGTTGTTCAGTAATTTACCTGATAACTCAGCTTGGTTATTGCCAAAACCCAGGGGAAGCATATTCCAATCCCCAACTCTCTCCCATATACCACACTGCTTCAGTGTTGAGCAGACATCTGTCACCTGCAAATTCTGGGGTATATTTTCAGAATTGTGGGTAGTTCAAGATGCTCATATATCTGTAAGCATAAAGTCATTAGAGCTCCCCCTCTGCACTTAAGAAATGATGGTTTTCACGCACTCATTTCTGTTTCTCTGTAAGCAGATAATATGTTTACTCATCTTCCAATTGATAAAGATGGTGTCCTTATTTCCCAGATTCAGAAAGCAATGAGGCAGAATCGTCCAGAGACTACCAGAAACCACAGCTAGAATTCGTCGATAATATGGGACTTCAAAATTAGAAAGTAACTGTCCAGCTTCATCAGCACTTTGGGGGGTATTTCTTATGAGCCTGGTGCTGTGCAAAAGTGATTTTAGTTTTAGTTTTTCATTTCTTTGACATGAATACCAAAGGTAAAGTGTGACTGGCTGTTTACTTGTATGGCAGAAATAATACCAAAGCTATGCTGTAGATTCTGAAGAACACCTTAAAACTCTCTTCATGAACCACAAATAGCTTAGGAGTAAATAACAAATGACTTTTCCTCAAAGTTTGTCCAGTGTAACTGGGCCGCATGCATCCTCTGAGCCTCTGAGCCGGGCAGAAGCCCAGAGCCTAGATCCCCTCCTGGAGAAAGATCAGTGGATGTAGTGAATTCCTTCAATCTCTCATGCTTTGGGTAACAAAGGTTCCATTGTGCATGTTTTTTTTTTTTTTTTAAACATGTAATTTCTTTTTATTTTATTTTATATATTTTTATATCATTTTTCATTTTTGCATAATGTATGCATTTTCATCTTGGTTATAGTCCCCATACAATTCCCACCCCCCCCTTGTTTCGATCCTACTCCCTCCCCTGTCTCCCCCCCCCCCCCCCGTGTGTCTCTGGTTTATATTTATAGTTGCTTCTTGATTTTGATTTTCACTTTATTATAATTAGCCTTTTTCCTAGTCCCTTATTTAGGTTTTCTAAATTCCTGTTTAAACCAGATTTCCCTTTGGCCTCGGGCAGCACAAGCCCATGTCCCACACTGCTCTGGGACCGAAGGCAAAGACACGTCTTCCCTTTTGTTCTCTTCTGTTTTCTGTCTGATTCTCGTGCGGCTGGGTATGGGCCTACTAGCCAGGGCAGCTGGAGAGGACCCTGATTTGGAGCTGAGTCTGTATACAGCGGCTTACTTTTCTTACACGTGACTGAAAAAATCCTTCTTCATTGCCTCCCCCCTTCCCTTTTCTTGCTTTCCATTCCCCACTTCCCGTCCACGCTTTCAAAACCTGCGCCTCACTCTTTCCCGTTTCTTGTTCCTGTTTCTTTTCTTCCCATTTCTAACTTCCCTTTCTCCCTGGCATCCCTTTTCTCCTGTCACTTTCCCTGCCACCTCTTTATTTACTCCTGTTTCAGGCCTTTCTTTCTCACTGCCCTGTCTTGCCTTTCTTGCTTCCTGTGATTTCTTCCATTTTCTGGCCACCCCTTCTGATAACTGGTGTTTTCTTACTTCTCGTTTTGGCTTCCATTTTCTCACTGAGCTTTTGTCACGTGTCTCCTGCTCCTCGCTTTCCCCTTTCCATTCCCTGAGGACTTGGGTCCCCGATTCACGCCTTCCTTTCTCTCTTCGTTTTTTCTTGCTCCTTTATTCTGTATTTTAATCTCCAGTTTTCCTTCTCTTGATTTCCATTCATTTTTCTTTCTGTGCTTTCCCTCTTTTTTCTTTTCTCACCTCCCTTTCCTTCCTTTTTTTTTTTTTTCATCCCCTTTTTTCTTTCCCCTGTTTTATTCTCTCTTCTTGCTTCTCTTTCCTGGTGCTTATTTATTTATTTTTCTAAAGTTGCTCCTTTTTCTTACTTCCCTTTCTTGGTTATGTTTTCTTACTTCTGTTAGTGGACGTGCTGAAGGGCACCCATGTCTAGCATGCCTAGAACATGCTAAGACCTCAGTAAATGTTTGTTCCACGAACATGTGACTGAATGGGAGTTGACCCACTTAGCTCGCCTCCTCTCCTCCCTCTCTCTCCCCACCCCCCACATCCTGGTTCTTCCCTGTCATGAAATCTTAACCAAAGTGTTTCCATGTTTTTTCAAGCCCCTGTTAGTTTCATATTCCACACCATGGCAGTGCAATAGCATGCTCAACCAGGTCGCATGTTTCCCTGCACTGATAATTTTGCAGACAAGTGTCTGTGTTTTAATCAAAATGGAATGATTTCCTGTGTACCTGCCTCAGCAACATCCTGCTAAATAGTTCTGCTTCTGTATACTTTTAATTGTCACTTAAAGGACAAGCCACAAACTCCCACCTATATTGCATTCTGATTTTACTCCTCAATTTAATCGTCCTTCCCTTTCCTTCCACCTTTCTTATCCCTGCAACATTTCCAAAGCATAACAGGTGTTTGGGAAGTGGGGGTTGTAGTATGCTTCTCTTCTCGTGGCTGGGTGAATGGAAGCAGCAGTTTCCTCCACTCTACCCCTACCCCACACCACCCCACCCCACCAAAAGACACCTGAAAGGAGTCTTCTGGCATCTGTGAAAGTGGCATAGGAGAGATCTATGTGTATTTGTGCATGTGTACTAAACCTAAATTTCTCTCTCTTTTTTTAAAAAGATTTATTTATTTATACAAGAACTGGGGTACAGGTTAGAGGTGTGTGGGAGGGTGAGAGAATTCACCAGAGATAGAGTGGGGAACAGAACAGGCAGACAGACCAAAGACACTGCTGAGGGGAGCAGTGGGCAAGGCAGGAGAGGTCTGTCGCACCATGTGGGTATCTCCCTGGCCAGCCGGGAATCGAACCTGCACTGCAGAGGCTGCGGACAGCTTCACAGCATGGTGCTCAACCTGCTACACCACTGGGAGTCCCCCTAAATTTCTCTTGTTTTGAAAATTTGATGTGACAAAAGGAGCTCATCAGCATATGGAGAAAAAAAAAATGAAGTTACTGCTTTTCTTTCTAAAATTGGTATCAGTTTCCGTGTCCATCTGAATCATATTCATTTTGCAGATGTTTGTGTTCACCCAATTAGACCGCATTCTGCCACCTGACAGCTGATAATTCAGAATTTGCTGATTTGGAGACTGCTTATGGCTACAGAAATTTTAATCCACCCACTGTGTAGAACCAGTAGTTGCTCAGCTCATGTTTAATCCCCCACAGGAGCTATCAGCTCGACACGTGCTACATTTTTGACAAGCCATTTTTGCACATATAAGATTAAATTATTTCACAGGGGAAGGAAAAGAAGTAGGAATGAAAACGCTGAAGACTGCAGGAGAGGGGAAAACAAGGTCAAAGCCACTATTTTTTTCTCTCTGGAACACTATAGGAATCCCTGTAAGTTTGCTGCTTTAGGGAAATGACTCCAATGTGCCTCTTTTTCCAAGAGCGCAAGCCTAAAGGCCAAAGCACGAGAAGAGCAATAGAGATTCAAACCTCTACACAATTCTTAGGTAGTTTAAATCCTGTAGAATCCCTCTTATTCTCCAAGCACCATTTCGTGGAACACCTTGCATGTATTTTATTGTTTGGGTGTCAGTTGTATCCTCTAAATCTAGGTTTCTTGACGAGAGGGATTAGAACTTATTTATTATGGTAGCTGTGCTTGTACATTCCAGGTACTCAAAATCTTTAGTAATGATTACACTGATGAAATATGTAGGCCATAACCCTGGCATATTAGCATTTTTGTTTTTTAAATTATTTTTTTAACTTAAAAGGGGCATATTTCAATGACTAAAGTTTACAGTTAAAGAATAACACATATCATCCCTTTATTTTTACTTTTATACCATTGGTTTTAGAGTTCCTGTATGTGACTTAAATCCATCATATGTGAGAAACTGTGAGAGCAGATGTGGGACATCTGGCACCTCCCAGCAGGTACTGTGGTTGTACTATTTATTATTATTTTTTCTTTATAAGTTTATTTTCTTACATTGTTGTTAATTTTTGGACAATATTTGATTTCTTCCCTCAGGTGTAGTTGACCACTCCCCTATCTCTGGTTCTCTTCCCTTTTCTATTTTGGCAACTCCTCTTCTCCCTCTCCTGCTGTATGCCTCAGATCTATGATTATTTTTTGAGATAACATTGGCTAACAACACCGCACAAGTTTCAGGAGTACAACTTCACATCTTGACATCTGTATTTACCATACAATGCCAACCACCAAAGGTCTGGCTCCATCCACCACAATCCAACTGACCCCTCTACTGTTCTTTCCATTCCCACCTCCTTCACCTATGGACACCATCATTCTGTTGTCAGAATCTAAGGGCTTATTTTGTTTATTCACTTGCTTTTATTCTTTATCTTTCATATATGAGTGAAATAATACAGTGAAATACTAGCATGTTTAAGATGTTCTATTGTGAAGGGGTGGGGGATGAGAGACACAGTGACAGTACCAGAGAGAGAAATGCCAGAAGAAAAGAGGAATCTGGGTGACTGAAGGGTTTATCTGTGAGGAAAACAGTGTGTGGTTGAGGCCATGTGGGGTGGTGTCATGTATTAGAAACCTTTTGAGTATAAGAGGTTGGAGCAGAGCATGTGGCAGCCCTAACATAAACCAAGAGCATCACTTTGGTGCTTGGAACCTGGTCTAGGTGTCCAAGAGCATTACCCATGGCAAGCTGCCACTGACCTATGTGGGGCTAGTGTTCATTCTCTGACTATATTTTAGGTGTAGTGGCAGTGAATAAAATGAATCTTAAAATTTTCTCTCTACTTGACATTGGAAGTCACATTGATTTCTTGGGCCTGAAAAATCCTCCAAGATTGCAAATGATCATAGCAAATGTTGGCCTTAAGAGTGACAGTCTGGGTCTGTTATTGGTACTCCAGTACTTAACTGGGAAAAAAAAAAACCACAAAAAGAAGCCTTTTTTTCTCCTCAAGTTGATGTGGTCAGGCAGAAAGTCTATATAAAAAGTCTGAAATATCTATGGGACATCAAGGTGGACCTCCATTCAAAAGATGGAGAGAAATATTGACCTGAGATATAAGAAGAGGTTGAAATTTGAAATACATGTTTGGAAATCAACATACAGATAAAAGACTCATATTTAGCTTCATATTCCACCACCTATATAGTAGGGGTGAAAATTAGTAACTGTTGAATGAGAAAATTGAGGAATAAGTGAATTAGTGAAGTTATAACTACAAAGTAACATAATATTTACAAGCAAATATGCTGGGTCTTTTACATCCGGATTTTTCTCTACTTCAAAGTAATCATCTTGGATTTATTCCTACAATATCTTTATTGCCCAGGGCATTTTCGAGCTCCCGTAAGAATTAATTGCATGCAGAACACATGCTTTCACTTATCTTCAGTGGTGGGAACTTTTTACCCTTGGAGGATGAGTGTGATTTCTGGAAACAATGATAAATAATTCATAGCCACATTTAGTGACTGATTTGTAGAATAGGAGAGATAACATAATTAGAGATTTTAAATTCTAAGTAATGAAATGATTTCTAGTTCTGAACTCAGTTTTAAAACAATTGATCCTCAAACCACAGCCTCCTACAGTGATTACTTTGAAGTCCAATATTATTGATTTTAGTGGAAAAATCTAAAACAAAAGAATGAATGATATGTGTCACATATATGTACAGTTTATATTCATAAAAAGATTGAGTTTTCATTGTTAGCCAAAATCATGCTTTTTCAATGACTTCTTTCTCATTGGAATTCATCTCTCTCTCTTTAACCAATTCACTTAGCATTCCTTGGATCATAATAACTGTGACGTTTTAAATTATCTTTAAGTAGAGACAAGTACCACTAACAATAGGGCAGGTTCTGATAACTAATAAATGGCAGTGGGTATCATTGGTGGCTCACTATACTTTGATTCTTCTAACTTCTGTCACATTATCTAAGCAAGAAGGATTCTGCGGCATTAACTTCTCAGTAAAAGGATTTGACTCCAATAGTAGGGGTGGTAGAAAGCAAACAGTGTGTCTGGTATACTCAGAGACCTGGGTTCTAGTTCTGCAATATTAATATTTATATAATTACCTATTAATATGAATAATAAATAATGATGTTACTATTATGGTTATTGCTTTCACTGCTGCTATTAGTACTGCTTCCGTATTTTAGGTTTATATAAACATTTATATATGCTTTGTCGCAATCTTCACAATAGTCCTGTGAAATAGGGAAACATCAGTGAACCTATTTTCAGTAAGTAAAGTATAAAGTAAACTTTCAAGAATGCAGTCAAAAATGACATTGGGTAAATCACTTTAGGTCTTGGGACTGGACTCTAAAATCCACTTACATTATACATTTTATGCTTTTTTTCTTTCAACGTGGCACACTGTATCATGCATCAGGGTATGTAGTTCTACATTTCATAAGATCCTCAGAAATAAGGGAGGCGCACTCCCCCTTTTAAAAATTATAATATGTGCAACAAGCAATTTAATTAAAATTAAATTCTTAAGAAAAAAGTCATGAAAGTTCTTATTCTGAGCATATTTTAGTCTTACTACTTTTCCCTCTAGGCTGGGTAGGACCATTACTCTTATCTGTGAAGTTGCTATAGAAACCAATTTGTACTGTTCTCCCTTTGCCATAGTATTTTTCTCAGTCATGTTTATCTCTCAGAAATCTTAACAGCAGTGAAACAGACATTAAACCCTAGAGGATTAAAAAATGGGATTTGTATTTCTTCTTTCCACCTTCACCCTCCTCCTTTCAATGGCAAGACTATTGACAAATTGGTGGCTCTCAAATTCCACCAACAGTGGTCTATTTTCCAAACAGACAGATGCTGACAGAAGGGCCCCCACGCTGATGAAGGGAGGGCTGTGACTTCCCAGCTGTGGATCTCCTGCAGATGACAGTCCCACCTGTGGCAGACACAGGTGCTCTGTTCTGGTTGAAGGATGAGAGCCAGTCATCACATGTGGGGGAGTACAAGAAACACAGAATTATTGTTCACCAACATCAACATGATCAAGCAGGTGGCATAAATAGGGATGAGGATGTGGCTTGTTTCATTTTTAGTGTTCTGAATTCACTGACCGTATGGGCATTAGGGAAAAATAGGAAGAATCTGGAAGCATGATGTTAATGGGGATCTCATTATGTTTAATGAGAGTACTGTCACATCAAATCTATTCCTCACTGTAGCCTTAATGAGGTATTCAATGCACATGTCCTTGCAAATTTTGCTGTCTAAAAATTATCTCAAAATTTAGTGATGTACATTTTAAGTTACCAAATTGAGTCAGAAATTCAAGATATAACACTATCTTGAATGCTTAGTAGTTCTTACTTTGGACCTGTAATTTGGTTGTATTCAGATGTTGACTAGGGCTGTTCAAGACTGGATATCCAATATGTTTCAATCACAAGAGTGACCTTCATGCTGCCTGTGGGCTGGTGCCTAGCTAAGGCTGTTGATTGAAGGTGTACATGTGACATCTAGTGTTTGGCAATTTTGAGACAATAGGATTTCTTTTTTCTTTCTTTGCTTACTTATATTTCATTTTTATTAAGTTAGCATTGGTTTATAGCATTACATAAGTTTGAGGTATATGTCAGTATACCACAAATCCAATTTTATAAATAGTGCACTAAGTTCACCACTTACTTCAAATTCCATCCCTTATCACACAATTGACTGTATTTACTGGATTTACTCATGCCTTTTCTTTCTTCCCTTATGGCAACCTCTTTTGTGGTCTCATAGTCTAATAGTTTGTCTTATATAATGCCTTTGCTTAGTTTACTTGTGCACATATGAGTGAGATCATATGGTGTTTGTCTTTCTTAGTATGGCTTCACTGAATGTAATATCCTCTAGTTTCTTCCATATTATTGCAAATGTCAGGATTTCATCAATTTTTAATAGCTGGGTAGTATTCCATTATGTATGTATGACATCTTCTTTATTCATTTGTCCATGAATATTGTGAATAATGCTATGATGAACATGGGAGTACATAGATCTCTTAGAATTAGTGTTTTGTATTCTTTGGGTAAAGACACGTAAGTGGGGTAATTAGATCCTATGCAATGTCTGTTTTTAATTTTTTGAGGAATCTCCATCCTGTTTTCCATAATGGCTGCATCAAATTACATTCCTACCAATGGAATACAAGGGTTCCTTACACTTCCCTTTCCTACACTTGGATTTCTTGCATGGTGATCAACTTCCCCCTATGTGAACAGCTCAGGAGTAAGGGTAAGCTGCCTGGCCTTGAAGACCTACACCCAGAAGTCACAGAGTGTCCTTCTGCCACACTATGTTTGTTGGAGCAGTTATAAGTCTGCAAAGACACAAGTAGAGGGGGACACAGACAGTAGAGGACGGTCAAAGAATTTATGGCCATTTAACAACATTCAAATTAAGTGAGCATTCTGTAAAACAGTTGCAGACTTCAAATGCCAAATGTTTTCTTCTCAATTCTGCCTTGATATGTCAGGATCTTGGTTAAGAATATCCATGAATGCACTCTGTGGAAATAAGTGTTATCCTCGGGGCATATTGAATAGAATAAGATTTTCTTTAAAAAAAATGTGACCTTTAGCTGAGTGCTTATTCTCTTCCAAGTGTTTTATATATTTTGTCTGAGCTAATTCCTGTAATAATCCAGTGTTTGTGGACATGGTGTTAGCTGCATTTTAAAGGTGAGAAAGCACAAACTTAGAGACAAATTTCCCATAGACACATAGCTAATAGTTTTCAGAGGTAGGTTTTTAACTGAAGTGCTGGACTGTAAAACCAGATTTTTATGTGGGGGAGTGAAGGTTTTTTTTTTAATTCTTTTTAGAAAAGATGGGGGCCTTTTCAGGCCCAGTCCCCTCTTCGTGCTCTCTTTTTCTGTCCTAAGAACAGCTACTGTCCTGTTTTCTGTGA